GCGGCGATTGAATGAAAAAAAATGATCGCAGAAACCGCCGCCTCACCACCATCCTTCCTCCAGAAAGCCTCCTCATCGAGCTTCAGCATAAGGCCTTCCTCCACCTCCGCCTCGAAGTGCTCCCGAACATAGTCGAGCTGGTTTGCTCCCCGTACACCGCCGGGGTCCTTGGTAAGGGGGTCTTTATCCACGTTGCGCATCAAGCAGTATCTGCCAGTCCGGATCCCCAGCATCACGAAGCAGCGCTGACATGAGCTTCAGGCGAAAAGGTTGCCCAGGGCTAGTTTCATCCAAGTCGTTGATGTCCCATCCTTTCGCCCCCGGAGCTCAATCATGATCGCCAAGATTGAGTCATGGAGCTTCGGATCCGAGATCAGGCTAGGCTGCATCTGGCCTCGCCCCTTGTAGCCATCTCGAAGACCACCCGGTCAAAGCGTATGGGCCCCCGGCATGGCCCATCACGACCTCCTCCAGCTTCGCTCAGCTTGCCCCATCCCGCTCTGTCGCAGCATTGCCGTTGAGAGGGGTCCCAGCGACCCGCGGAGCACAGTCCTGCCCTCATGAAATGGCCTGCATCCCCATGGCCCCAGACAGATCCTAGATGGTCCATCGCTTCCGGGAACCGGCGGGTGCACCGGGCCCACACCTGAGTCGCCCACAGTCCCAGTCGCCAGAGTCCCCCGCAGGCAGAAACCCATTCATCCAGTATTCCACGGTCCCCCACGTCCAGGGACTCGAGCTGGTCCACGTTTAGCCTGCCAGAACAAGTCTAAATCCCGTCCAGTCCTCCGTGTGGCATGCCAGCGATGTGCATCGAAGGAGTTCTTCCCATCCTTCCAAGACATGATCTCTCCACCGATCTTGCCGCCCCTGATCTCCCTGAAGCTCGTGCCGCAGTCCAACTCCGTCCATAGTCCTCCACCTTCGAACCTCGAACATGCCAGCAAGAGGTTGTCATGTGGACCATTTGTCGTGTCCTTGTGTGGTGGCTGCATAACCTCCCGAAAGAGGGCCAAGGATGAGAAGACCCGTCCTCCGAAGTTGCTCTTCATGATCCTAGCCAAAAGCCTCGAAGTGAAAGGAAACATGCGCAGGTTCCGTCTCAGCCCCACCTTGTCCCCATGGATGAAAGCGCGTGTAGTGAAGGATCTCTGACCCTCACGAGGCACCTGGGATTCCCAGATTCGAACTTCGTCCGGCAGCATGTCCGAAAGCTTCTTCAGGTCCTCTGCCGTGGCCCGGCCTCCACGAAGGCATGTCGCAGCAAGTGATTCCGTCTACGCTGTGTGCAGCCAAGCTAAGGTATGTGAGATATGAGGCGCATTAGCTGAATGCAGACTGTTGTACACACATATGCGCCGCACATAATTCTTGTTGTTTGCCAACTGGTACATCCGGATAGACACCGCATCGTGTACTCACGCGCCGTGTATCCCATGATGTGTGATGTAGATCGTTGGTTTCATTCTGACCATAACCCATGGTCGTTAACGGGCCTGTCTCTCAACACTCATTGTTCGGCGCCTTTCTGCACCTGCAATATTGGGTCCATTGGTTTGCATGGCGGGGCCGTGTCTGACCCGGCGGCTGCCTGGTGGCTAGGTGGCGGCAGTTGGCTGGCAGCCGGGGTCGCCTGCCACCGCGCGCTTGCAAGCACCTCGTGGAGGTGAGGTGGCCAACGGCAATTCGAGGAGACAGCTGACACAGGCGCGTTGCGCTGCGACTGCCAACAAGCCTGCCCACCGCGTGACATCGCGTGACCCAAGCTGCCTATGCTGCCGTGCGGAACGCCGTCGGCACGCCGTCAGCACGGTTGCGCGCATGCTAAGCGACCGCCGATTTCGATGCCGACAACGACCAAGCGGCAGTGCCGTGCGCGCACCAACTCGGGGTATGTCTGCGTCCTCTTGCGGCATCAACGGCCTGCCCGTGGCGGAAATCAACCCCAGGTTGCGCCGCGCCCATGCTGGAAATGGGCTGACAATGGTGGCGTCAAAGGCCAGTTGCGCTTCAAGCCAAAGGGGCAAGCTTTTTGCAACAACCTCGATGCGGCGTGCATCGGCCACCGGCGCATCGATGTTCATGTCGGCTGGCCGCGCATTCTGGCCAACGCGCCCCCCAGTTTCCCGGCACACGAGCGATTGCTTGTTCAAGTGGCAACGCCCGGGAAGCGAGGACTTCGGACCGGTAAAGGGGATTATCCCTCGGCACTCCAAGAAATGGTTTCGCATGCAAGTTGCCAAGACATGCGCCTCATGTTTGTCAGATCTGTCATTGCAGACGCCTCGACGCTGTCAGGCGGCATGTTCAGGTTCATGTTGTTGCATGTTCAAAGTTTGCCTGGCAGCTTCCCATGGCATATTTCGGGCAGCACGCGTCAGGATACGTTTTGCGCATGTCGACGGCAAACTGAAGCAAACGGAGCATACGAACAGCAAACGCATGTTAAGTTACATGAGTGGCGGCAGGCAGTCTAGAAATGCACGAGCAAAGGATCTTTATTGTACATTGCAAGGAGCTGGTTGCATCCAATTGCAGCGGTGAATTTTGATAGTTTGTGGCATGTAACAATGTAGGCGTTCGTGTGGCACTCAGCGAGGCTTTCATCATTCAGCAAGCAAGGCCTGAGAGGAAGGCAGGCGATGAGGCAATGTGAGGTTGGAAGATTTTGCAGCACAACGTATATGTTTTGCCAAGCTTTGGGCCAATTGAATCGTATTTTGCTGCGTTAGTTAGCTGTCGCAGCTCATTTCTGTGAAGCTGCGAAAGTACGAACTTTTCGTGGCCCGATAATTCTTGGCCACTGGTGCCAATCTGAATGCGAATACAATTGGATTTTGATCAGAATGGGGAGCTTGCTCAGAAGAAGTGGGACCATCTAGACTGGAAATTGTTGAAAGGAAACGGGGGGTTTGGAGAATCTTTTGGTTCCTGTAGCAGAGGACAATGTAAAATGACGTTTTGGGTTTCCGGTGGCCCATTTTTGCAGATCGCGCAGGTCTGCGCCCGTTAGAATCTGATTGATAATGTTCTAGCCTCATGATTAAATTGTCCCAACATTCGAGGTGCAGAATATGGCAAAACAGAACAACTCTGTCATGTTGGCCCCCATAACGGTGTTCCAAGGTTTTCTTGTATATTTGTTTTTCCCTTTTCCACCGTTCGTTCACATGATTTGGGGTCTGTTGAACCTATTGAGGAGACCAGATTCAAGGGTTCTTTGTGTCTGATTGTAGAAATGCAGAACAGGCTTGAGCCCAAATTCTTGTAATCTATATACCATTTCACGGGCCGTGGTAAAACCAAAAGCCCTGCAGGATTTGGATGAGGCCCTTTTCTTGAATCGGCAGACGCCACCAGCGCTGGAGGACTAGGCTCTGTTAGGCGTTGCCCCCAAACAGGTAGACAATCGCAATGCTGGGTTTCGAGTAGAGTAAGGTTGAAGCGCGCCACAAAATGTGGGTGCACACAGGAACTCTGGAAAAACAACAAGCCACACGTTAAACTGAGGTGGTCCAAAAGAATTCGGTGAGTTGCTTGAAGGAGCACTGCCAGCATGTACATGTTGGGGAAACAGTTTGGAACTTTGTGCTTGTTATCGGCCTCTTGGACAGCGGCTGCGTGGACACTGCAATTGCTTTTGCCATCATGGTTGGCAATGCGCTGATGCAAGCGTTATTTTGCTGGGCCATTATGTCGCCAGAGTTTCGTGGTGCCGCATTTGTTTCACAAATCGAAGTTGCCAAAAAATGGCGGTTGGGCGTTGGCCACGACTCCACTTACATGGACAGTGCACCGACAAGCCTCATTGCTCGCGTGTGTGGGAATGATGGGACGTTGATTGTAGCAAACTCACAGGCGAGGCTTGTGCATGACATCAACGCATATTTGGGTTATGGAGATGCCCCATGGGTTATTCCGACTTCACCAGGGGCACTCCTGAGCATGCTATGCATTTTGCATTGGTGCCTATACATATTTGATGAAATCCGCAGCATTTGCATCACGATGCAAGCGGTAGGCCGTGTGCCGTGGGACCGCAACAGTGAGCTGCGGGGGGGCCGACTTGTTCGTATTTCCCACGAGCGCTTGGTGTCCTACTTGGTGCTCACAGCCCTCAGGGCATGCATTGCTGCAATTTTACTGTATGCCGGAGTTTTGTGGCTGGCAGGCACCACGTCAATTGCAGCCTTGATGGTCAACAGTGTAGCTTTGGCGGCCATAATGGATATTGACGAGAAGATTTTTGCAGCATTGATGCCCCGACAAATCCAAGCACAGATGGAGATGTTGCATCCGTTCACTGCGACATACGGTCGCAAAGCAAGCCAATTAGAGTCCATGCTCCTCAGCATTTTGACGTCAGGCAGGTCATGGCAGGTCTGTGTTCAATCATATCTCTCGCGCCTGTTGTTGCTTCGTGGTGGTGGTGGCGGCGGCGGCGGCAGCGGTGGTGGTGGTGGCGGTGCGCGGTGGTGGGCGGCGGTGGCGGTGGTGGTGGCGGCGGCGGCGGCGGCGGCGGCGGTGGCGGTGGTGCGCTGCTGGCGCTGCTGCTGGTATGATGTGGCCCAGGCCATCTTAGGATGTTAGAGTGCAGTCAGGTTTCCTGCGCTTACGGCTGAGCAAATCTTACGGCTGAGCAAATGCAGGCCTCCTGGCGTGGTCATTCGTCAGCCTCATCGACCCACTTAGCGCAGAAATGCGAATCGTAAAGGAAGAATACTGCGGAGGAAACCAAGACTTTGTCATCAAGGCCAATGCAGACGTGCAGCTGGCAGTCGGAATTCAAACTGTTCCATTTGGGCAAGAGGCGGATGCAAACCTGAACAACTTGGCCGTAGATGAATTGCTTCTTTCGAAGGCTATGGTCAACCTAAAGTACACAGTGGTCGCGGAGACCCTTCGTGATTTTGCTAGGTGGTCGACGGGGACCGCTCCTGACTGGACGAAAGCTCAGCTTCACGGCTGCCATCAGTGGGACGGAAGCCCTTTCCTCAACTCCGCTGCGTTTGCGTTGGGTCGGCAAGGCAGAGGCCCGGTTGTTGGCTAAATGCAAGCTTTGCTTTGTTGCTTGGAGTTGCTTGTCGCAGAGCTTGCCAGTCACAGGCTTCACATGCGATGACCTGGCCCGCGACTGTTCTCGGCCAGAAGCCCGGTTGCTGCGGATGCTCTGCCCGCGAACTTGCGGCTGCGATGATCCTCGTTTACCGTGGTACAGGGTGGCAAGTCTAGGCTAGCGCAGGGGGAAGGAATTGGGAAAACGCTTCACAATGCGCATGTACCTCATGGCCCTGCAGGTTGCCCTGCAGCCTGCCTCGACATAGGCGAGAGGGCATCCGTCTCGTTGCCATGCAAAGATACCGATATGGATTCGGTTTGGAATGACGCGTGGATCAGATGGCCCTTGATGTGGTTGACCACGTTTAATGGCGACCCTGCCACGAGCAAAGGGCAGTATCGCTTAGCTCTTTTGGAGAATATTTCCCAACACGTTCGTAAGAATGGATGCAATGCCATTCAGTCTATGAACTTGCCCAAAGGGGTGCCCTTCACGGGGGATTCCGTCTGCCAGGGCTGGAATGGGCTCATTTCCTCCGCAGCGAACCTCTGTCCGGAGACCTGCGGATGTAAGGATCCTGCAAACTTCACGCTTGCGGAGAGTGGCTGCCCACGTAGCTGTCAAAAGAGGCGTTGCTTGGTTTCAGGCAGGCACACCCAGGCAGAATGACATTTGTGTCGACATTTGCGTCACAGATGTCACAGTTGTGAGCGACTCTTGAAGACGTCTGCAGGTGTTACGGGAGCTGTTGCTGGGGAAACAGTAGGTAGCAACTGTTTTGCATTTGGCAGCGTTTCTGGGTTCGATGGTCTCAGGAGAGTTTGTTTCCACGCTTCAAATGAAATCGTAGCGCTACATGCCACGTCAATACTCAGAGCACAACCTTTCAGAGGGCCTGCAGCAATCAGCCTTTCAGTTTGCAGTTTTTTCCTCAGAAAACAGGTCCGGTGCCGCTGCAAGCCATGGCAATAACACCTACAAAGCGCAGGCAGCTGAGCGAGGAACTCATTGAACGCGCTGCGGCCGGCCGGCACCAAGATGTTGCAAAGCTGCTCGAAGATGGGGCAGACACAGAGTTTGCGGACAGGAACGGCTACACGGCACTATCCGAAGCGGCCATTGCCGGGCAGACAGTCGTTGTGGGCCAATTGTTGCGGGCAGGTGCAGATCCCAACAAGCCAGCCAAGGACGGGCGGACTGCGCTCCACCGAGCTGCCGTCCACAGTTGGATGCCAGTTTTGCGGCTTCTGCTTGAGAACGGAGCAGATCCATCCCTGACGGACAGCAACGGGAAAACTGCTGCAGAAGTGGCCAACAAGACGTTTGTGCAGGAACTCATTGACAGCTTCACAAAAGAGCAAATTCAAGAAGCAATGGATTCTCAAAAGAAAAAGATGGCCCAGCAGCCGCGCTACGAGGATGAAAGTGGGTTGAACAAGCCAGATGCCACCACAGTTCCAGAAGTGCCGAAGAAGGCCACGCGGACTCCCAAGACCATTTATTACAAAGACAGGGTAGGAGACACTCAAGCTGGAACTGATCAAGTCTCTGCAGAAGGTCAGAAACAGTTTTTGGAGTTACATCCGACTTTGGACATCATAGCCCAGCCTGATGGATTTGCTTCCCGCACTGGCCAGCTCGCAGGCTACAAGGACGGTGTGCGCTTGCAGGGTGGGAGCCTTATCGTCAAGACCTCTGATGGGCTCTTTGCCAGTGACGAGGTCACGCAGCAGCCTCTCGACAGCCCAGAGGAGCGGGCAGCTGTTTGGTTGCAGACGCTGGGTGACGTGCCAGAAGTGGCCCTTGACATGCAGGCAATCCAAGCTGCCAAGGCACAGGCTCAGAATCAATTCAATCAGGGCAATGTCGGTGCTGCTCGGAGAGTCACCACAGCGGCAATCCGGGCAGCCGAGCTTCTACTCGCCAAGGACTTGTCGTTGGAGGAGAAGGCCAATGAAGATCTGCAATCACTGTTGGGCATCCTGCGCTCCAATCGCAGTTTGCTTCTGACGCACCAGATTCAGGCAGGCGATGAAGAGGTTTTGCAATTCGGCTCAGATGCTGCTTGGAGTTTGGTGGTGAAGGACACGGGTGCGGCATTGATGGACAACCCCTCGAATTTCAAAGCCAGCTTCAGAAGAGCACGAGCTTTGTTCGAGCTAGGTGAGCTTGACCAGGCAATGGCCGATGCCACAAGCGTCGTGGATCACTATGCTCGCAACACCCAAGTGTCAAATCCTGAGGCAGTTGCACTACGTCAGAGCATTATGGATGCTCTAAAAAAGGAGCGTGCAAAGTGGGGCGACAAAGGAGGACCACGTTGGAATCGGCTTGTCAACGATGGTGGTGCCTTGATTTCTGAGGTGTCATAATTGTTCCTGAGCACAAGGTTTCACCCGCCGGCAGGAACTTTGCGCCCGAGCGTCTTTTGAGCTTCTTGCGTTGTGTAATTAATGGCAAGATCCACATTGCAGTTGGTGTTGTTCGTGGAAGGCTGCAAAGCCAGACAGGCCATAATACTGCACGTGCATGCGCATGTGAAAGGCTAATCAGCCCTCGCAGGCATCCGCCTCCATCGCCTTTGCAGGCTGGAGCTCAGCTCTTTGCACAAACCTGGCAAATGGACGGCATCCCAAAAGCTGATGTCGTGCTTTGCTGCTCAGTCTTCTAATGCTTGGCCCACTTCCGTCTCTTGCTCATCATCTGCGCACCCAGACTTTCCAACCAAGTCTAGAGGTGGGTGCAAGCAGGGAAACACGGGGATACCTGAGGCACACGCCATGTTTCATGACTGCTTATATGCCAGGTGTTCCTGTAGTTGCTGTAGGTGGTACTCATACGTGAAATGCGGAGGTTCCTGTGCTGATGGCTACATCCTCAATCATCATTCGCACGTGTGCAAAGCATTTTGTTATGGAACTTGGCGGCTAGCCAATGATGGATTATGGCTGGATCGCAGCTTTTCAACCGAGCTTGCACCTGAGCGTAACTATTGGCCATTGGGCTTCTTTCTGGGTTCAGCCAAGGTGGTAATCCCCCTTGACGATCCGGCTGGCAAGTGCCGCATACTTAACTTCCAAATGAGCGGCTGAACAAGCATTTTGTGGGCAGTGGTGCATTTTGGTTGCAAAGCAGGCTTTGCAGAATCTTTCAAACCCAGCAACTCCAAAGCAGCGCCAATCCCTCTGCAGGAGCAAATTGTCCAAGCGCCCCTTGGCATGTGGCATGTGAAATTCGTCATCTGCAGCCAGGAGAGCTTCAGAAATGGAGCTGTGGCCGCAAAGCCGACGATGCCTCAGCCAGAGGCAAATCCCAGGCAAGCTGACGAGAAGCTGGCAGCTACCTGCACGATCTTGCACGATTATGCCAGCATCTGGCATTTGGCCAGGCAAGATGCCAAACTCCTGGGCAACGAGCGGAGGACGGCCACGGGGGTCATGTGAGGACATGTGTCATTCCTCCACTTCCCTGCAGGGTTTCCATCGTGCGGGTCCAGGTGACAGGGGCGCGAGCAGCCTGACCCTTATCAATGCTTGTACGCAAGACTCCCAAATTCGTAGTAGCCTTTTGCGCACGCCTTGCATTGCCCAGGTTTGTAATGGCACCTACTGCTTCGATGGCCTCCATCAAGCAAAGCCACTTTTCCGAGCTGAATCAGGGGCCATCATCTACTTCCAGCGGTGAAGAGCTCGGTTTCTCCAAGGCTTTTCTATGTGCATTTCCCATCCATGCTGATGTTTGCTGCTTCTGCAGTGTAGGGTTTTCTACGCCTCCCGACAGATGCACAAGAAAGGTTTGTCTTTTGCCAAATGGGAGCATACAAGTTAGGTTCTGGAAGATGAACGCTGTCTACAAGACCAGCTCATGGATGTGGTTCGGTTGCAACAGATTTTGCGCAGTCTCGTCTGTGCAAGACGATGTTACGTGACGTATGATTGGTTTGTTGGACGGTTCCAGCAAGACTCAAGTGAGGTATAGCTTCCCTGACAGCCGAACGGCTTGGCCACCGGAGGGAGAGTGGACGCGTGAAGGGTTCCTTGTCAGCAGTTCAGTTGTTTGTATCTCCAGCTGTGGGGCAACATGTCGCAGCTACGCATATGCTGAACCGCATTGTAAGTTCAGCATGGCACATATCTTGAGGTCAGTTGAGATAACATCCGGATCAGCCACTGCCTTGGCCTGCTGCACGTTCCAATGTCATTGATTGCGGGGATCTCAGGCGCCGGTTGTGAGCCTTGTGGATGAGCCCTTCAAAAGCCTTGGGGAGCAAGGCCCGCAGAGCTCCTTTTCGTGGTTGTGCCGCGCGAAAGCTGTTAGGTGTGAGGTGGGGAGCTTTAACAGAGCTGCTCGTGTGGAGGTAATTCCTTGCGGCTCGAAGGGGGTCGCTCAGTGTGAGCCCTGGTGAACAAAGCTAAGCATGAAATAGGCACAGCTGTGTTGTGTGCACTTTGAGTGCGCAAAAGTTTCTGGTGAGGTGCTTAAGCGGGAGGAGAACAAGAGCTGGCGCTGGAAACTTTCCTGATTTGATCGCAGTTTTCAAGTTTTGTGGATGCTGGTGTTTGTCTCCACAGCTCAGACCCAATACATTCCCAGGATAGAGTTGCCGGTCTATGCCAACTCCCAGACGAATTCTTTGGGAAAACTCGAGGAATCCGCGGGAGACCAGGCTTGGAAGGTGCCAAGTCCTTCCTGCCCAAGGGGACATCAAGTCCAGGCAGGGCACATGGCTGTTCCATCGTTGGAGGAGCTTTGCGCAGTATTCCCAGCTGGCTGCTTCGTGCCATGGAAGACCCAAGTGTGTTCCTTCTGCAAAATCAGGCCCAGCTTGATGCTGAAGAAACTGCGGACGATGTTGCGCCTGACGGGCTGCAACAAGCTGAGCTGTCACTCCGACTCTCTGCTGATGCAAATTCTTGGTATTTTCCTTTGGATGAGGAACTTTGGCCTGCTCGGGGGCATTGACGACAAGGAGGAGGAGGAGCGCGCAGCACCACCTGCGAACGGCTATTTGAGTTCGGCCCCCGTGTGACATTCCCAGATTTTAGAAGCAAAAAGCTGGCACCCCAATCAGCGTCTCTGCGGCGCAGAGATCACTGTTTTTGGGGTTTGGCTGGCCTGAGCTTGGAAAGCTCTATCAGAAGGTTTACCTAACTAGAGGAGACACTAATTTCATGTGCAGACCAGAATGAAGAGCTTGCCCCCGTTTTGAGTTGGCAATGGTTGTACCTTGAAAAAGCCTGCCTGTATCTGCCTGCTCTTCCTGCACTGAAATCGAGGCTCCGACATGATTCGGCAGATGGGTGAAGGCAACTCAGTGCTTCTCAAGGATGCATTTTTTGCTCGTAAGTTTGGGGCATCTTGCCAACAAAGCATGCAAGGCATGCTCGTGAGACTGTCGCAAGATGCGAGGAGTAGAGGCTTGGACAGCATTGAAAAAAGGGCGTTCTTCGTTCTGCCCCCAGCATGGCAGAAGTCCCTTGCTCTTTACTTGGGTTGAGGTCAGCAGTCGCAGAGTACCAGGCCGTGGACAACTGTTCAGTTCAGTTCTACAATTTTTCAGAATCTTCAGAAGCAACAGCCAACAGTTCCCAGTTTCGCATCTCAACCAGGTCACCGGAGGCTTGTGAGGGGCCGCCATGGCCGCTCGAAGAGCCCCGGATTGGAATGGCAGCGCGGCTCATGAAGTCTGACGCATTCTCCTCAGCATGTCTGGGTCTAGGTTTTTGGGGTTTCCTGCATAGTATCGTCTGGGCAGTCACTGAGGCTGAGTCGCAACGCGGCGAGTCCGGCAATCTCCTCCGCGCATTGCACTCAGGTATCCTAGTATGGGTTTACAATTTGAGCGACTCGTAGCCATCCCTGACTGGTCTGGACGAGAGCACTGCCTGTGAGACTTGTTTACGAGGCAAACCGCCTCCGATTCCGCTAAGCCGTTAAGCTTCCACAAGAGTGGCTTGACGATCCCCAGAGTCTTTACATGCCAAAAAAGAGGGAGGAAGGCAGACCTGCATCAAACGCGTGAAGCCTTCGTGTGCAACCGCTGCCTCAGACCCTTCTTCAGTCACACTCTGGCCAGAAGTAAAGAACATATCAATCGTCAGTTGGTTGGGAGCTTCCACATATGACACAAAGCTGCAATCATCAAAGTCATCTTGCTCCTGCAAAAACTCTCTGTTGGTATCTACTGCAAAACAACAAGGCGGATGACAGAACCAAAGCTCACGCTTTAGCAATTTGGCTGCGTGGCCTGGATTTCGCTTGGCTGCAATGCTAGCGCTGCGAGCCGCGCGCTGTGGCAACTCAGCGTTGCCAGCGGCACGTGGCTTTGCCGTTCTCTCCCACACATGGACAGGAGCTTTTCGGGGGTAGTAAGCACGATTGGTTTTGAGGTTTTTCCTGCACAGATGGGCTGGTGACCCTGAGGCGGCCAGCGCCCAGATGTTGGTGAGCCGCAGAAGGTTTGTGCCAGGATCCTTCCTGCAATGTTGATGAGCACTTGTGAGAGCTTAAGAGAAAAGGTAATGATGCACGGCATTCTGGGATCAAAGTCGAGCCTCGGCTAGCTTCATGTCAGTAGCTGCAGCTACTGTAGTGTACTCAAGCTGCTAAGCTGCTGCTAGCCAAGCTCTCCAAGGAACTGGAATACGCCCTCTCGTCGCCTTTTGCAGCAGATAGGCCCTCAGGGCTGGCGAATCCTGCAAGTTGACCACCGTGGCCATGGGAGATCTCCATCAGGCCTGCTTTCAGCAATAGTTGTCAGTAGCTTTTCAAAATGAGCATACTAAGGATCTGCGCCTCACACCTTGGAGGCCTGTAAGGATGACGTCCTTGAAACGCAGCTCGGCAATGGCAAGCTGATGCCCTGTGCTTCTTGCCTTTTGAAGTATGCCTCTCAGGCTTCAGGCAGTAGGCATCTCGGAAGCTGAGCTCGTGCTTTGTGGCCACTCGTTTGGTGGAAAGGTAGCGCTGGCACCTTGTCCGCGATGAGCACGTTTCCCCTGTCCGGTTCCTCTCGTCTTATGAGTCTAATGTGCCTTGTTCCAAAGCTCCTTCTTCTTGCTTCGTTTTTCATTAGAGGAGTTCGCAGCACAGGGTTCCAGGCGTTGTTTGTTTTCTTGCCGCGCGAAAGCGCGGCGAAAGCTCAGCCAAAGGTCTTCATTCATGGTTTTTCCCCAAACAGGAAACGTTTGGGGTCCTGTACTCAAAAGAAAAGAAGAACGCAGCGGCTGGATGGGCTGCACGCGGTGAAGCTCTGTGGGCCCGCGGTGGGCCCGCAGAAGAAAAGAAGGATGTGGCAGCTGGATGAGTGGCATGCGGCGCGGAGCTGAGGGTTTCTGGCGGGTCTGCAGTTATGAGTTTTGTTTTCAAAGGTACCAATTCAAAGATTCTGGTCTGAAAGCTGCTCATGAGACCGAAAGCCACGTACGCTGGGTCCAAACAGGAAACGTTTGGGGTGCTCTCAGAGCCCTCTCCTTAGAGGAAATGCAGAGTCGCAGAGCGCGGCGGCGGGCCGGCACGCGGTTGGCATTTGTGGGCTGGCGGGGGGCCTGCCTGGATGGGCTTCACTCGGCTTGCAGCTGCGGGCTCATTGTGGCCCGGTCGGGGGCTGAATGGGCAGAACTTGCAAGCTGAAGGCCGGGCTCAAGATGCTTTCATCCTGATCCTCCAACCCTCTACCATAAAACCTGGTATGTAAAACAGCTCCCATGCCCAATTCGCCAAGAAGGGTTGACATGATGTCGCGATGCTGTGCAACCTGATGGCTCCAAGGCCGTGCTCCGTGCCTTGCTAGCCAAAGGCAGGCCGCCCAAATACACCTGGATTTTCGACTCAGTTCCAGGAGCGGAAAGGAAGAAGCGAAGAGTCTGCTGGATTGTCTCAAGCAGGACAGCCGGCGGAAGCCTCCGAAGAAGAGGAGCGGCGCATGCAAAGTGCCACCTGGAAGGCAAATCTTGGGTTATACTGGAGGGTGTCATAGGAAGCAATGGATGCATTGGATGCACACGGAGCCGAGGTGAACTTTGTGCTGCGTGCTGTCGCATCTGCGGCGTCGAGACGCTTTGAGAGCCGCAGTGAAGCTTGGCTTTGTCACGGGATTCAGCAGGTTGGCCTTGGCATTTCCGAGCTCCAGCGAATCGGCCGGGCAGACCTGTCAGACCAAACGCTGTCAACGTGTGCCAGCATGCATGTGCGAACGTGACTCGTGCACAAGTCCCGGTATAAGGGCCTTTAGGCATGGCATAGACCGGTTTGCTGCGGCCAGGAGCAAGTGCCTGTGCAGAACATGCACCTCCCGTTGCTTGAGCTGACACCTTTGTTGGCAACAGACTGCCATGTTTGGCTCAGGATCTCGTGGACATTCTGCAGGCGGAGTACGGTCTGACAAAGCCAGTGGCGGAGTGGATTGCCGAGGGCTGACGGTACCCCGAAGACTTTCTCACGCACGGGGTAAGAAGCTATCATGTCAAGCTTCAGGCCCAGTCTGTTCGTCAATCATCGCTGTGCTCTCAGCACATGCGTGTGGTTGAGTATCTAGCGTTCAACAAAGGGAACATGTGCGGAACGATGCAGGGATGGGGTGGAGCTGAGCTACGATATGGGAGCGGTCTGTGCAGACCTGAGTTCTTCTGCATAACCAAGCTACTGTACTTGCAAGTACTTGCACACAGCTGTCCCGTGATTGAGGTGAGCTATATGACGCTTACCGGCGAACAGACAAATGGGATCTGCTTCAGGCAGGCAATGCAGTGTCTTGGAGAAACACGGATGACAGAAGTGCCTGCACCTGACAATGCAATCAGCCAAGGCTATTGGAGTCGTGGTTGCGGGGCAAAACAGGCAGATCAGAAGATCTGCATGATTGGCAGAAGTTGTCTGTGCTCGAGTTCGCATTCCCCTACAGGCACAGCTGGGGACCCAGAAACTTGGAGCGACTGCAGCAGTGCCATGAGGCCAGTGATTGCCAGATATTGCCCGTGCTCTTTGCTTTGTGGCAAGCGGCCAATGTCTCTGCCTGACAGGCTGTGCAAGTTGTTACGCTTGAAGATGCTGGCCACAATGTGCGCATTAGAATTTCTCTTTTTGTTGCTGCCGTGCTCAGCGTGAGAGGTGCGCATCCATGCAGGTACACGTTGATGATTTGCAGGGGCTGCTTAAAGCCATCATTCCAAGCTTCGCGTAAGTGAAGCTACTCTGCACAAGCAGCGCCCGTTGCTGAACATGTGCGTTGCAGAGCTACTAGTTGCAGTTGGCTCACGTTGAGCCTTGAGCGCCCTCATGCCCCTGCATAGCGGATAACCGGCAACATGTCTTTGAGACCTTTGTTCCCGCAGTTGGCTCCAAGCTCGGTGAAGCGACCCTTGGCAACGAGCCACTTGAGTCGAGCCACTGCAGTCACATTGACATGTCCATTCATGTGAAGGCCTTTGATCTGCTCTTATAGATGATGGAGAAAAAGCTGTGTAGAATCTCGCAAGCTGCCACTGAGAAGTTTCAAGAGTAGCAACCCTGACAAACTCACAGCCTGTGAAGCGTAAAGATTGGACGCAGCATTGAAGCAGGCGGTTTCTCAAACTGCGTGGACAGGACTTGGTCGGGAATGATTATAAGCTGGATCTCAGTGGCTCCTTGTTGGCACACATCCAGTGCAGGCAAGCGTTGCCGGAGTGTTTGTGCACATGTGTGTTGCGAGCTGTGAACCAAGGTATGCAAAGTGTCCTGGACGTGAAGAAGGCTTTGGAGCCAGTGGTGGTCGACCTTCCGGTCCCACAGCAGCGGCTGACATTACTTCGGACAGGAAAGAGGCCCATGCTTCGAAGAATGCTGGGACTTGGCCTTGCTTCTGCTTAAGCTGAGCATGCCATCTTGCAGGCTGGAGCCAGATTCTCAGCAGCTAGCGGCCTTTGGATTGAAGGATGGTGATGAGTTAGCCTCTTGACATTTCGATCCTTCAGCATGCTGCCTCCATGATGGCCCCAAGCCATTCTGTACACTTCTTCGTGTGGTGGTATAACCCAGGAGTTGCAAGTCCTTTCCTGGACGGAAGCACAGGGGCTCTGAGAAGCGGACCAAGCTTCATGGCCAGTGGCTGGATCTCTTCGCAGATGCGCGTGCCAATAGGGGCTGTGGCTTGGCTTGCACCATTTCCTCCGTCCAGCTCTCCATGGAGGGGAATTGTGGATCCCAGCTTCGGTAGCCTCATAGCTGAGCTATGGATCGCCATGTGTCGGGATCGGTAGGAATTCGTGTGCCAGTCTTCATCCCTGTTACATGGCTTTCTTAACGAGTAGTTGCTCGTTTCGTACAGGCTCGAAATTTTTCTGCTACCGTGCTTTGTGGCAGCACTCTTGTGTCTAGAGAAGCCATGCGACGTAGAAGCGGATCAGACCCAGCCTAATTTTTCTTTTCTTTGATCAGTGATGACCTTTCACAGGGCTCGGGATTCCCAAGCCAAAATGCTAGTCCTGGTGCAGGCTGAGGAGGCTGGGCTGGTGACGCAGTATCCCACCAAATGTGTGGCAAAGACAGCCTACCGCATGAAGCTCGCGTCAAAACTCCACTTCAATGCATCGGCACTTGGCACTTCCTTCGTTTTCTGTTAAAGCTAGGGCCGCGAGGGTTAGGCTGTGCTAGACTTGCCAGGTTCCCGGGTCTTGCCCACAGGCCCCCCGCGCGCTTCAAATTGGCTCATGCACAGCATGAGGCGCATGGACAGCAGCAACACAGTTGCTAAGAAGTTGTTAGAGCCTGATGCAGCCATTCTGCTTGCGAGTTCAGTACTCTCGCATAATAGCCTGTTTTCAGTAGCCCCAGGTAAGATCAGACCACGAGAGGTTTGCTGCACCAGTCCCCGATGGCAAAGCGTCCTCACGCTGCTGCCACACCTGGCCAGAAGCCTGGCCACAAGCGGCAGCGGACGAGGCTTGATTGGCTTGTTGGCTTGCTGGTAGAACGTCAGGAGCCGCAGGAAAACCAGGGTTCGACTTGCTTGTCAGGCCTCATGACGAATCAGATGCCTGGACGAGGGCTGGTAACAAGCGCAGCTTGACTGAATGAGTTGAATCCTGCAATCCACTTCCAGTGCTCCACTGCCATCAAATTCCGAGTTCTTCTTGACTTTGAATGCCGACGTGGCGCTGCTGTGGACCCGACGCTCGAGCCAGAGGAACTCATGACCAGGCGTTTTGGCGTCTCCCGTCGTTCGTGTAGTTTCCTCCGCTGAGATTTCTTTGACAGATGTATCCTCCTCACCTCAGACCTTCTGCCGTTGTCCCAGAGATCTAAGCCTACGGGTGTGCGTTGTTGGGTGCAGGTTGCTGGCGCCCATGTCGCGGGAAGAATTCCTGAAGCATTGCTGGGCGGCAAAGGCGGTGGCTGCAGAACGCTCAGCTTGGTAGTGTATGTTCCTCTGCGCCAGCACCTTAATATGGTGAACAGCATTGAGGTTCATGGTCCTCCCCGGCGTTTGGCACCGATCTGTTCGCACTTGGCAGGCTTGGACTTGGAGGCCGAAAAGATGCGCCGAGATGCTCAAAGCCCCTGAGCTGGCTCTGCAGTCGCAGCTACTGGCCTCTGCTGTTTGCGCAGGCCATGCTGCAAGAAAGCCCAAGTGAGACAGCAGCCTAGCTTACAAGAAGTCACTTCTACTTCACCTTGTGTTCTGGCTATGGATATGATGGATATGTGGCTCTGCTAAGGTACACGCTTGGCTCAGAGATGGTGGCTTGGTTAAAAGCTCTGAGGCAACACGTCGTGATTTGGAGATGTCAGCCTAAGGTCAGGCCGCTCAAGGATCTGCAAGCTCCGTCATCGCCTTAGTCTTAGTCGTGCAACAGTTGCAAGCAAGGAGAAGGAGAGAAAGGCTTGCAGCCCATCATGCCAGCTCCACTGAAGCTTAAGCTTAGCTTGAATGATTATTTTGCACGCATCATTTGCAAACTTCCCTATCCACTGATAACCATAGGCGACCAGGAATGCAATTCCGAAGCCATACCCCACATCAGGCCGCAAAAAGTGTGCTGCCACGCGGGTAAACTACTGCAGCTACCCCTTGGTTTGACATGTTGAATTCGCTTCTAAAACTGGCATAGATGAAGATGCAATGCAAACACCCAAAATACAAAACAACAGGAAAATGATACAACACAAGCAAGAAAAAAACATACTTGAATCAACAACAGCAACAATGTTTCCCCAAACTAGAGAAATTTGGAAGCGACCATTGCTAATCCAGAGCTACAAAAAATAGAAGTCACCATAGAAAGACATATCGACAAAACTAGGGAAGTCCAACATGAAACAACACCAACAGCAGCATTAATGATCCTGAAGCATAGAACCCACATTAGGACAAGTCTAACAATAAAAAACACAAACATAAGAACAACATTGGAGCAAAAAGGGGCAAGTCAACAGGATACATGGAAATAAACATAGGATTTGTTGTCTTCTCTGTTCTTAGGAAGCACATCTTTTTTGATTCTATTTGTTTTCGGTTACATTCTATTTCTTTGGATTTTTGGGTGTTATTACATTTTGCCCAGGGTATTCCTGTCCTAGCAGGAATCCAACCTCACAATTCTTGCTCTTTTCACTAACTCTGCTGCCGCTGCCGCCGCTGCTGCTGCTGCTGCTAAGACGGCGCAGTACCAAGAATATTCCACCACTCAGTAGACCGCCTTCCTACCAGCATACCTGATCGGCCTGTTCGGGTGACTGAGGATTCCTTTTTTGAGAGCAGCCATGTATCCAGGCCAACTTGCTGACCCGAACTTGCCAGCTCTGCCCTGACCCAGGCGCTCCGCAGCGTTGGGGTGGATGCGGCTGCAGCGCTTGGCCTCAGGGCAGCCAATGCGGCACTGTATTTCCGGGCCAGCGAAGAGCTCGAGACACGTGTCGCGAAATTAGTTGAATTAATAACCCAGGTACATATACATATGTTTCCACATATGTGTAATTGTGTATGAATGTATGCGTGTATTTCGGGCCCGGAGGCAAGTGTCGGCCTGGCCGCCGCCTCCCCGCCCCCACCCAGTCATCATGTGAAAACCAAGCCTTCCTCAGGTTTGCTGCTGCTCCCGATGGGGACGTGTGCGAAAAATGATGTTCTTGCTACCCAGGATGTTGTTTTAGGTTTGGAAGCTCTTGCTCTCTTTCTATCTGTTCGTTTACTTGAAAACGACCCACAACGCAGTCCCAATCATGCTGATTGTGTTCCTGTACGGGGCGAGTGCACGCTCGCGCGTCTGTACGCCAGCATAGTTCTCTGCGCAGGCTGACCATGCTTTAGCACACAAAAAGTATTTTTTGCAATTGCCAGAAGCAACATGTTAATGTATGTGATAAGCTAAAGTGGTGCAAATCGTAGGTTAGGAGCCACAAAAGTGTTGAACATATAGGCAAAGCACATCAAACAACCATGCAACATGCACAGCTTAAAGGGTTTGGACTGGGCAACGCGTGCAAAGCCTTTCGCATGCTTGTCATGCAGTGCATGTGCTACCAACACTAGTATTTACAGCCACAGACGCTGCCTACAGCACGAATTTTGAACTTTTTGTTGCGGTTTATCGAGCATTTCAAGTCCCAGCACCCCTCAACAGCCAGCATCATGAGCATCATGGGGCCTGTTTGGGCCCCCAATGTCCTTCTTGACATCGCGCATATGAGGTCCCAACGCCCCTCCAAACCTCAGGTATGTTGAGGTGTGCAGAAGTAACTGGGCCGAACAACAAATGCTCCAAACCCTTCGTAGTGGTGGGAAAGCCTCAAAAACGCATTTACACATCACTTTACTTTTTTCGGGCCTGGCGGCAAGTGCTGGCCTGGCAAACCCTAAGCCCGAAATCCACAAACCCTAAACCCTGAGTAGGAAGAAATATTGAGTTCTTTGTAAGGGTTTTGTCCCTGGTACTTAAACCAACTTGAAGGTCCTCATCTCCCTACCTTAATCCCAAACAGGACCCCAATGCTGATGTTCTTGCTGTTTTGGATTCTTTTTTGAAGGGTATTTAGGTGTTCTTGTCCCTAGCTTAACCCCAAATGGGTGTTGTAGGGCTTTAAGGTCTTATTTTCCCTTAGCTTAAGCCAAAATGGGGTCCCAATTCTGCTGATGATGTTCCTGTACGAGGCATAAACGGGGTCCAATTGTGCTGATGATGTTCTTGTACGAGGCGAAATTGGGTCCCAATTGTGCTAATGATGTTCCTGTATAAGCATAGGTCTGTTGAGGTGTCCGAAAGTGAGAAACGAAGGCCCAATTGTGCTGATGATGCTGGCCCGGAAAAAAATGCCCCAAACCCTCCGTAGCAGGGGGGGGAAGCCTCACCTTAATTTCTAACCACCGAAAACACGCCTCCAGGGCTTCCAAGGGAGGGGGTCGGCGGTCTGGCCGTCGTGGTCCAGTGCGGATGCACGCCTAGCTAAAGCTGTGCATAAGGGGTGGACGCCCCAACCGCACTATAAGCCCCAACAAAATGCTCAAAATACGCGTTATGGGGCACTGTTTGTGGCTGTAAATACCAGTGTTGGTAGGATCTGCGCAGACAACCGTGTCCAATGCCGTTTTGGATGGCTTTTCTTGTTTTTGTTTTACCCCGCGTGGTCTCCATTAAGGTAAAGTGGGTCACAATTGTGCTGATGATGTTTCTGTACGAGGCGCGCGCTCGCTCCTAATACAGAAACATCCGCTGCCAGTGGCTGCGCACGAAACCAATCGACACAATGACTCCGCAGGAACTTGGGCGCCTTCTGTTTGGCGTGTATGATGTTGCTGCCAAGGTGCTGCAACAGTGGGCTCCTGTGGCCCAGCGGGAGGCGTTGGGAGGGGACTTCACCTTCTCCATCTCCTGAAACCATCCAACACGCCCCGTAGAGGTCGGCGGATATCTGAAATACATGTATTTGTCTGGAGCCCCTAAAGCAAAGTTGTTTTGCCAAGTTTGGGGAACGTACTCTGTGATGGTATTGTAGCATTTTTTGTTCATGGAACAGTCGCTTCCCTTGCACTCGGCCAAATTCAGTTCAACCCAGGAATCTTCTGGTTAGCCGGATCTGCTGCGGCCTGGGTGCGGGCGCAGCCGGGATGTACCCAGGCCGAGCCAGGATGGAGCTGATAGCAGCGCTTTGCTCCCGGGGTGTAGTTTCGGCTGCTGTGAAGCAGGTAGGGGTCCGGGTGCTTTCTCAGAGGAATGAGGGGAGGATGCTTTGTAGGTTGACTCGCCTTTCCCTGCCTCGAGATAGGCGATGGTCGGCCCCGCGGAGAGATAGAAACTTTCGTCGCCTCCGGGGGTCATGTGACAGGTGCCTGGGTATTGCTGGATCCAAGTGTGTCTTGGGCTTTGACTTTCTCTTGTGCAACATCTGCTGCGCAACAGAGCCGCCAAGCCAGGATGGCACACGGACTTCCAGCACAACTTCACCTTCCAGTTGAAGCAAGCCTGTCAAGTCTCATGGTTCTTGTTGGGGCCATGCTTTGGACGCCAGGGGAGCCAAGCGTTGGCGCTTCAAAGCGGGGCCGGTCAAGAACAACGTGCGTGCATTGACTCCGCACTTTCAGCCCGGGCCCTGGGCTTGGGACTACACGGAAATGGAGGAGTGTCTGTAAATCACGTCCCGTCCATCCAGCACGTTGAGGACCCTGTAAGGGCTGCATGTTCTGGACAAAGCGCAGGGCCAGAAAGTCTTCTGCTTTCTTGTTGGCTGTTGGAACAGCATGCAAGTTTCCACAAGTCACCAAGGCAAGTAGTGCAAGACGGCTGAGGCTACGTAGGAAAGAGGCCACCTCATCTGACACTTCAGGTCATGAGGGCGGATTTTGCGACCGAAGCTCAGATGCATTTCTTGCATGCTCAGGACGCGGTCCAACTTCGAGCAGCAGATGAAGCTCCATTTGTTGAGTGAAGCTTCCCAGCAAGTGGTCAAAAATGCAAATTGCAAGCGTTCGATCGGGGTGTTTCATACGCCTGCCCAGGACCCCACCAGCACAGACTACCAGCCACCGGACGAGTTCTTTGCGGATGCGGAAGAGGTGGTGCTACATGAGGGAGCTGTGCTCTACCATCCTGCTGGGATTTGGCATCACGTAGAATGCCTGGGCGAAGCTTGTCCAGGCAGAAGTCTGCTGGCGGAATAGTAGGCTACGCTACCATCCTCGCATATCCTCGCAGTGGAGGCGAGCATCAGCTGCTAAGGACGAGAGCATCTCCATCAACGTGTCTCTGTCCTGTGCCACGTGGGCTGACTTAGTGGCTTGGCAGTCTTGGAGACACGGCACCGTTGCAGCATGTTGTAGCATTGTTGCACTTGAGGTCGGCGATGCTGTGCGCCAGCTTTGCTGGGGCTCTGCCAGTTTGCGCCAACCTTTGGTCGGTTTGGATTCAGGGGAGCCGTCAACGATGCGAAACCTGGAACCTCGGTGGAAAGACCATGGCTCTCCAAACTTTGTAGCTGATGCTGCATCTCGCCTCTAACTCAGAAAATCAGGTGAACCAGAGGCTGAAAGAAGCGAAGCGATATTTCAACGCCCTGACAGCCGAAGACTTGCTGCCAACCGCTATGCTTGACCTGCCAAGGCGCAAGGGAATCAGCTTGGGCCCTGCCAATCCGCGTAGAGAGCTGGATATTTACGTAACCGAAGTGTGTGCACATGGCAAGAACTTCATGTGAAAGGCTGCCTTCGCGCATTCACCTGGGAAAGTCCACGCTTGGAAGCAACTTGTCTGTCGCGTTGCTCGGCGAGCACAAGATGAAAGTGTGCGCCTTTGTTATGTGAGATCTGTGCTGGAATATGGTGCTGCTGCCAGCTTTCACGACAAATTGGCACGCATATCACAGCTATCAATTGGAAGAAGAGGCAGCCAAGCCAAAGCCAAGTCTTAGCCATAGAGTCTCCGCTGGCACCAGGTGAGCTTCTGTTTCAAAGGTTTCTTACAGGTTCAGGCGGTGGGCTGTCCTTCAGCGCCCACGCCTCCCACCTTAGGCAGTCGGACAGGCTCTGCTTCGGGCAGCTTTCCAGCCTTGTGGAGCTTGCAGATGCAGATTCCGAAGACGAGGCCCGTAAGCACCACTAACACAGCTGTATCTGCAGCAGTCCAAGCTAGTAATGCAATTGCCCCGAAATCCTCATGGGAAGGTGACTAATGATGTGCAATTCTTGAGTGCAGCAGGACGTGGCAAAAAGTGCAAAGCACTACGCTCTGCACATAAACTTCGGCAATGAGGACCTCGCTTGATTGGGTGTTTTTTGTGCATTCGATTGAGGGAGCACGCCTTTTGCTCAGAGATTCGACCGCGCAAGAGCACGCAGAGCCACACCTGCATGTATGGTAAGGCACCGACTGGAGTCTAGAGCAACCTGCGCTTGCACCTCTGTACATTATGCCTTGCTTTCCGAATCTCTTGCGCGCATGCATCCCTTCCAACAGCTTCCGCATGTATGTGGGTCCTCTCCAGGTTGACTTAAAGGCTTACCGGCCTTCCTCCCTTTTGCACTTTTCGCCAGATCTGCGCCGCAAAGGATGCTGCCTCCTGGCTTCGGCTCGTACTCGTGGCTCCGAGAGTGCCTCGGCACGTGTGTTGGTAGTTGCTGGAGCTTGATCTCCGAGCTGCTCTTTGATTGTTGGATCTGAGTTAGCGAGCCTTCCAGAAAAAAGCGTGTTGTGACCTTTAAAGTAGCACTATGTATTCCGCTCGGTCTTGCCAGCGGCACAAAGCAACTTGGAATGTAGGGCGCGGTAGGGGAGTCGAGGGTGTACAAGCATACTGTACTGTAGGAACGTACTGCACGCCGTGTCGCTTCAAGATGTTGGGCCAGGTCTCAGCAGACCCTAAGCACAGCATTTACGTGTCGCGATGTGCGTGCGCCAATGGCTACCATTCTTGTATGATATATAGCACACAAATGCCTTGCAGGTCTTCGCCGAAGATCGAATTTGAAAACACGCTGCCTAATCATTTCCATGCTCCTGCGTTTGGCTGGTCGATTTCCTTGCCATCACGAAAAAGATTTCCTGATTCTTTGCAGATATCACATGGCTTGACAACTTCTGTGCGGCTGGGATTGATTTTTACCAAAGTAATTCGAAGCAAAGCCAAAGGCCCTTCACGGGGCTGTAGCGTGGCTTGGCCAGCGGCAGATGGCTTCGCGCCGGGAGCTCAGGGTGAAATTGAGGAATTGCTACAGGCCTTTGGACTATCGACTGGGCAGCTCTTCGGAAAAGCGTTCTCTGACAGGCAGAAGCCGAGCCATCTTTAGCAAGACTTTCCAAGCCAAGGACGCTTGGTGCAGAGAGCTTGCAGACACACTGGAGAAATTCTTATGAAGAGCACAACATGTCAAGCAAAACTATAGCCGCGTGTGCTTTTGAAACCGTTGATGCTGTAATTAGGAGCCCATGGGGTGTTTCACTAGAGCAGCTTGCTTTGTTTTGTTAAAGCTTTGGCTAGACTTTTTTTGGGACCCCTAGACATGCATAGCAATGCCTACAGTCACACGGGGCCTATGACATCAAGATGGCAGAATCCTGGCAGGAGCTACTCGCTTCTTCGAAGGCAAGCTGGACGCAAGTGTCCAGGCGCAACAAGGGAATGTCTCTTCAACAAAATGTGAGATTGCACTTGCAGCAGACTGTTGCAGGCTCATTCGTGTCCAGGCCTCTGTTGTTGGAAGCAGCGTGCAGCGTAAAATCTCTGATGTGTGCTCCTTGCATCTCAAATGATCCATGAAGACTGCTGTGCATTTCAGCATTTGGCAGCGGCTTTCGGTAGAAGGTGCAAGTGCGACTTGTCAAAGCAGCATCCTCGAGGTGTTGAGACACTGCGGCTACATCTATCTGAAGCAGTGAGGCTTGATATTCGAAGCCACGTGTGCCGTAGAAGCTGAACAGGGTCGGAGCCAAGAAGAGGCCAAGGACAACAGCGCCCCCTCGGCCGAAGGAATTCTTCCGCGAGATCGCGTGCTCAGGAAGCCAGGCCTTCCTGACACGCTCAAGAGCTGACGGAATCTGACGGAGATGACATAAGCCCTGACGCCACGAGATTCGGCCTGCAAAACAGGTGTTGGTTGCACATGTTGCACTCGGTTCCATGGTTCCAGTCTGGGAGTCTGGGCTCCACACTGTTGCCTCGTCTTTAGCTTGAGTCTGCTTCTTGGGCTCAAGTTTCTATGGGGGCGTCATTGCGCCTCTGGGCCCCGCCCTCCCGGAGGCCATGGGGTCAGGGCCCCGGAGCAATCTGACATCGCGCGACGAGCTTGTATTTAGGCAAAAACTTGACTTGCACAAGGTCCGGGGGCTCCGCGGATAAGAAGAAAGGCCACGTTGCTGTGTGGAGCAAAACTGGCCTGCCCAGTGTCCCTGCATGCTAGGTGAGGAGAAGTACAAGCCTGAGGAACCCTCGGCAGATCCCACTTCCAGTACAGATGTTGCAGTGGTTCAGAAGCCGCGACGGTTGAAGAAGGCGGGAACCTAGTGGATGCAGCTACATACTCCTACAGCAAGCTCAAGCCAGAGAACTCAAAGTCCTGCGGACAAACTGCTCTTGCAGGCAGCGACTCGAGCGCGGCTCGAGGACGGGAGTGGTCTGTCAGTACTGGTATGGGTACAAGGGTACAAGAGCAAGCGGGACTGGCACATGTTTTTGGCACAGGAACGCAGCACTTCACCTCGCGGCTAGTTTGCCATCAGGGGTCTTCTTGTCGCAGCTGGTGAGCAAGATCATTGCGTTCGAAGACCGAGGTCCTCCAGAAGCAGACAAGGAACCCACAGTTCCGACCACAGAGGCCAGCGAAGCGCGGATCTGCAGTGCGGTTTAGATCGTGTTACCCCGCATGGGCCAGGTGCGACCTTGCGACTGCTGTGGTGAGATGAGAAAAACCACAAACTTCTCCCGTGGTGATGAGGTCTGCGGCTCAGTGCCCTGCCGCCACTGCATGCAAAATTTCAGTTTCCTTTCTTCCCGTTTCAAAAGCTGAGCTGCGTGGCCTCCCTGCTAAGACCCAGTGGCTCTGCGCTGCTTGCCAGCTCACCAATGGAGGTGCGCGCGGCAACTTTCCACCTAATCCTTTTTCCGCAGTAGACTGAATTGTGTGCGCTGTTTGAGAGGTAAGTACTGCTTTTGAGCGTGGAGCCGCCGACATCTTGCAACATGAGACGCAATTGGAGCCAGGCCTTGCCTTTGGGGCCAGGCAAAAGCAGAAAAGGCCGTGACCCAAAGCAGGGAATCTAAAACCACGCTTGCCCTTCGTATGCGGAAACGAGTCTAGCGGGCTCGAAGCTTTGTCACCATTTAGCCAGAATTGCCAGATTGAGGCTCAACGTAACAGCTGCGTGGAGGTCTCAGTGGCATGCAGCCAAACGAAGACAGATGACGTGTGGTCTAGCGTTTGAGATGCTGAACATGTTCCATGGGCTGTTAAGGTTGAAGCCCCAGCCAGTGTTTAAAAGGCAAAACAGCGACAAGCTGCTCAGGAGAATGCTCGGGTACCTTGTTGTTCAGCCCTTTTCGTGACACGCGTATTGCAGCCCAGCTAGCGCCGAGAAGCGCTGGTCGCTGGCAGTTCTATGTGATTCCCGGCCCACCGGACGTCCGGCTAAGATTTTGCGCGACAAGGAGCAAGCTGAGTGCTGCTTCCGACGACGAGAACAGCGAGAACGCCTCAAATGCTGGAAGAGCGAGAAGGCCGGGAAGGGCTTTTAGCGATGCTCGCAGTCGCACAAGTGACAGAGAGCTGATATCTTCAGCTGGTCGAGTGTTGGCTGCAGTAGGCGTGGCAGATGCAAGACCAACAACAATGACACTGGTTTGGAGCTTGGGCGACACGCTCCCGCGTCTTGCGACAGTCAGCTGACCTGAATTCTGCTAGTTGCAGGCTTGGCAAGCAATAGCAATAGTCGGGTGCCAAGTTGACCTCATACCCAGTTGCTGGTGGTAAGGCAAGCATGCTGAAGAATTGCTTTTGGCAGCAGCTGGCGTCATTTTGAGGCCTTGCACCGCCTGATGCGGACGGTGGAACGTCGAAGCCCCAGTCGCGACACGAACCCTTAACAAAGTGTCATGGCTCTCTGTGTAGGCTTTAGGAATGCAAGGAGCTAAGAAAGGCGAGAGGCAGCACAGAGCACTAACAGCAGACAGCAAAAAAGAGAGAGCGCGATAGCCATTTTGGCTCAAGTCTCTGCCGCTCCCTCTGGTGGGGGGGCGCCCATTCTTCTGCCGGCCCCTACATGGGGGGAGAGTAGTCTCTCCTTCCGCGGGGGGGGTATCAAACATGAGCTGCTTATGGGGCTTGGATTACGTCGCCCAATAACTGGAGAGAGAGAGTACGCAATGGCAGCTGAGGAGGGTGAAGCGTGCCAAGCATGTATGCTGCGGGGCTTCAGTCGGAAATGGGACTAGTTAATCTGCTACTTTACATTGTTACAATCAGACAACCGCGACCATTTTGGGCGCCCAGATTCAATGCAGGACCGGAGACAACCGATACCGCCCGAGATATTTTGGGCACCCCAGGGCGCAAATTCGATGCTCGAGACAAAAATTGATACCGACTGTGACCCTTTTGCGCGACTAGTGCGCGAATTCGATGCTGGAATGGAAATGACAACGATTTGCTGGATGGTTGGTGCGCGACACCTACCCTCTAGACCCGGAGAAGAGCTGCAATCTAGGACAATACGTCAACATGAATTGCTGGCCTTACCTGACGGGACGATGCTTCAGCCGTGTACCAGGTGACCAGAGGAACAACAGAGTGCAGAGCCTTTCTTTGTAAGGAGGAAAGTGCAACATGTACGTGGACATGTACGTGGACAGCACCACCCCTTGAAGATGAATTGAGTCTGAGTGAATGGGGAAAAAACGTTGCTGCATCAGGAGTGGCATTGCGAATCGTAGTGGAGTCAGTTTGCAGTATGGAGGAAGCCGTGCCAAAAGTGATCCCATGATAATGATGAAGCATCGCGGTAAGGCCTGGGGTACCTATTTATTGGTGGTGGGGTTCGTCCTGGGATGTTTGTTGTGAGCCGAGACCCCTGAGCACTCCAGACTTTGCATTGTACAGTATGCATGTACGGGAAGGCGGGCGAAGCTGTTTTGAGTATGTGTCCTGTTTAGCGTCTTAGCGTTGTTGGAAAATGCACCTCCACCGTGTGCTGAACCCAGTGTCGCAGCCTCATGGAGTAGGAAGTGCGACCAAATCCGGGCCATGCGCAAAGTAACTGGGTGATGTGCGGGGATTGTTTGTGCTTCGGTCCTCTGGGGTACCCGACCGTGTAGCGGAGACAGTTTGGGCGCGGGGCAGTGTTCCGAGAGGGGTGCAAGGCCCCTATAGAGCCGGCAGAAGAAGAAGAGAAACACAGAGTACACTTCGGACCGTTGTGCTTCGGGCGCAGCCCGAGCGCAGCGTTCAGGATGCGTGTAGAGGGAAAAGCACATAGAAGAAGAGGAAGAGGCACTAGGAGACAGAGAGAGACAGAGAGAGACAGAGAGAGTGAGAGAGTAGGTTTTCAGTTTACTGGGCTCGGGATGCAATGTAACAGAGTCGTGGGACCAGGAAAGTAAAAGTCGAAAACGATCGAGCATGCACAGTACCCTACCACATGGGAATAGGGAGTTGTACAAACCGATGTCAGACAGGAACGCTGGATAGAGTTTGAGATTTCTCC